TGGCCCCTCCCCCATCTATTCTCTGCCTCTCGAGTCCCAGCTGATTGGCTGGGTCTTCTTTAGTTGCCCTGCACAGGAGAACGGAGCTGGAAATCAGGTTAGTGGGGTGGGGCGGGAATGGAGATTTTGCAGTATCCTTCCCCTGCCACGCCCACCAAGCCACACCCACAGAACCTGTAGTAAAAAAAATTGAATCCCACCATTGGCACAGTGGTTAGAGTGCAATACTGCAGGCTACTTCTGCTGCCTGTCGGCTGCCTGCAATTTGGCAGTTCGAATCTCACCAGGCTCAAGGTTTTCTCAGCCTTCCATCCTTCCTAGGTGGGTAAAATGTGGACCGAAATAGTTGGGGGGCAATAGGCTGACTCTGTAAACCACTTAGAGAAGGTTGTAAAGCACTGTAAAGTGGTATATAAGTTTAAGTGCTATTGCTATAAATAGACGCCAGTTGACAAGGGCCTGAATTTTGAACATGTGACCATGACCATGGGAATGCTGCAATGGTTGTAAGTATGAGTATCAGTCCTAAGTCACTTTTTTCAGTGTCGTAACTTCAAGCAGTCACTAAACTTTTCTTGGAAAGAGTACCTGCTTCATTTCAAATGTCAATTCTATGCATAGAGAAGTCCAGCGATAAGAACTAACTATATTCCCCGCCCCCCACCTGTCAATTTTCATTCTGGTAAGAAAAGTGGAAGAGTTTCTGGCATGTGTCCCATAGTCTCAGGAGCTGTGAGTGACCACTGCCAATCAGTTCTCCATTCCTTTTTTAAATTTACATGTTCTGTCCCTTGAATACAATACATAATTTATGCATATTTTAATATTTTATAAATTATGTAACATAATTGTTACGCTATTATGTTGATATTAATATTTAATTTATTTTAAACCCAATTACAAATAAAAAATGAACAAAACTAAGAAAAGGCCAAATACTATAAAGAGCACATTGATTGGGCGTTGATTCACTCAGGCTCAACATGTTTATTTGGCCACAACAGGTATTTGTTTGCCATGTACTATGTTTAGATACCACAGTTATCTAGCAATGGGAACTGAAACACAAATTACTTCTGTCTTTCTCTTCCGTTTTAATCTAACATCAAACATTACAGCAGAATCTGAGGCGGGGAAATGAACATCGCATTGCTTCTTTTGAAGCTGCTTTCTGATAACATTGAACCAGTTCCAGGTAGTCTGTTGATATCAGATTGCTGATTGGTAGGATGTGAATTTTCAGTCTGATACTTTCCGTAAGTTTTGGAGCCAGTGATAGACTTTAACTTTCAGCCTTTTCCAGTTTCCAAATGAATGTACGTTGGGGAGGAAGTGGCATTGTGACAAGTTTCATAACTGACTTACACAGCTTTATTTGAAAATCAGATCAATCTCTAGGTATATTTGTACTTGTGCCCCGATTTGTGTTATCTGCTTGTCTATAAGCAAACAGCCAAGGTAAATGAACCCCAATGACTCTCTGGTTCAACCTGAAACTACGTAGGTTCCCTTCTATTGGATGTTTGTATTTTTCAATAAAAACTACTGGGCTTCCCCTTACGTCAGTGGGAATCTCCAAAACAGTTTCAATTCTGACCTTCAAATTAATGAAGCTCGTATTGCCACCAAAATTCACTTTTCCCCAGCTTTAGGTTATTTAGCCAACACAGTGATTATCTGTATAGAATGTCCTCAACTTATGACCATTTGTTTAACCACTGTTCCAAACTGCAGCGTGACTTAAAACTGTTTTTCAGACAACCATTGCAACATCCCCATGGTCACGTGATCAGAATTCGGACGCTTGGCAACTGGTATGCTTTTATGACGGTTGCAATGTCCCGGAGGCATGTGACCACCATTTGCAACCTTCTGATAAGCAAAACCAATGAGGAAGCTAGGCTCACTTAACAACCGTGCTTCTAACTGAACAATTGCTGTGAGTCACTTAAGAACTGTGGCAAGACAAGTCATATAATGGGACAAAGTTTACTTAGCAACTGTCTTGTTTAGCAATGGAAATTTTGGGCTCAGTTGTGTTTGTAAGTCAAAGTCTATCTGTGATGTTACATTTTTCCTCACACTTTCAGTGGCATAAATCTGATGTCAATCGGTAACATGTTGGAGCCAGCAGCACCTTTGCTTCTTTTTGAAAGCTTGCACAAAATGGCTGGTAGGTGGGTCAGATCTATTCATAACAATGCCTGCCATCTTCAGCCTGGTGATCCAGAGTGATCCTTTTTTTTTCAGAAAGGGATCAGGTGAAATGCTTCCCTGTTCTGTCCTACCCTATCCTACCCTATCCAGAGATACCTTTGCCTGATATTTCTTCCTCTTCCTGCCTGCTTTTGACTCTTTTATAGGCACACACTTCCAAACAAAGAACAGGGCTAAAACTACTTCCCGATTCTACTTTCTAAGAATGCTTACAGGGTTGGTGTGATGCTTAGAAGCATGCTCATAAATAAAGATGATCCTATCATCTGATGGTTTGTTTTTCAGTCAGCCTATTTAGAATTTTTCCATTAAATAGAGCAGAGCTCCCTATTGGTAATAGTGGAGTGAGTCTACATAGTTAGAGCTACCAGGCTGCCTAACTGTAGCCTTGGTTGTAGGTTTGCTTCTGGGTTCAGTCCCATTGCTTGGGACCAGGCTTTCTGAGGGACCTCCTCATCCCACAATAGACCTGGCAAAGAAGTCATGCTTTGGGTAGCATCAACTAGGGTTCTACCTTGGATAGGCTCCAGGACACATAAGGTGGGCATCAACTGTATGATGCCCACCTTATAAAATATCCTTCCCTTCTCAAAATTAGATTATCTCTATCCCTTTTGACAGTTCAGAAGACCCTCAAGAACTAGCCATGCCATTAGGCTCCCAGGGAACCAGAGATTTGCTTAGATGGTGAACATTTTTAATCCTCTCTTCACCTAGGAGTTCCTGTATGTTTTTTCACACTCTTTATTTCTTAATGTATTTTTAAAATACATCTTGTTTAATATTTATTGCTTTTATATCTGTGGGTTTTATCCAAATGTGTGTTGTCCAGAGTCGCTTTTGATGAGATGAGCAGCAATACAAATTTGGTAAATAAGTAAATATGCAATTTCTTGTGATATGGTGAAGCTTTGAGGAAACCACAGAAGTAGTAACCAGGAAATAGATTGTTATATTATTTCTGTAATGTTGACCATAGAGATTATAGTGTGTATAAATTATGGTTGACTTATTTTGTGTCCAGGGAATATGAAAGATACAGAGATTATGTTGCCTAGTGAAAACACAACCATTTAATCCCACTTGCACTTAAATACCTTCCAAGGATATTTATTTGGTATTTTTGTGAGTCTCTGCATCCATGCTTTTTATATTTTAATATTTCCACTATTACCAAGAGGTATGCAGAACTACTGGGTGCCAAACACTGCCAAATTAAAGTGAATAATACTTATTTCTAACTCTATCATGAAATAAATCTTGTTCTAAATATCATTCAGTGAAATGGCATTCCAAAATAGCTTCTTAAAAAACTGTCAAGGTGATTAATATTATGTGTGCAATGCAAGTAGATAGCGGACTCCTTGTTACACAGTGGAAAAGATATTTTCTACTTGCTTTCATTGAGATATTGGGAACATCTTATCTAATAACTGAAAATTCTAGTATGACAGAATGGATTTATGAGGACTAATATCTTGGAAAATATCAAGAGGTAACGCACTGCATAACTGGGTGCAAGAGCCAGGGTAAAAAAAACTAAAAGATTGCACCCAAACCTTGTAACTCAAAATCAGTAAAGAGGTAACTATACTAGTTGATTTTGGGGAGGAGGAGTATTGGCAAAAAACAACAACACCCTACTATAACAACAGAAATCCAAGAATTGTATGGCAGAGCTTTCTTTTCACATTCATTTTCTTGAATCTCAAGCCCCTTTAGAAACCATGCCCCTAGGGAGGAACATTTTCTATACAGATATTTGCAGGTGGAGGAAAAGAAGGGAAATAAACATATTTTAGAAAAATAAAAGTATTTTAGTCATAGGAAAGAAACACGACTAGATTATTTCCCTAGTGGTTGTTTAAAAGAGGCTTAAAGGACATTCCATATGCTTTAATACAGGAGGCCCTGCCTTTAATTTCTGGGATTTCCTTTTTCCAAAGAAACAGTTTGGCTGTTGCTGCGTGGGGAAGAATGTCTGAGTGGTCCATGAGGCATTGGGGAGCCTGGGGGGGGGGGGTCGGGGCAGTTGTTATGTGGAGGAAGGTCTGTCAGTGGCCTTGCGTGAGTGTGATGAGCCTGCGAAGTGGCTGCTGCGTGGGAGTGTGTGAGCAACTTTCAAGATGACTCCTGACCTTCCCTGTCAGCTTCCTTATTGAGCTTGCTTGGGGAAAGCTGGCATGGAAGGTTGCAAATAGTGATCATGTGACCACAGGACACTGTAGCCATACTAAGTATGAGCCAGTTGCCAAGCATCTAGATTGTGATCATGTGACTGCACGGGTGTATGTGTGTGTGTGATGGCCAGAACTATGAGGACTGGTGTGTTAAGTCTCCTTTTTGAGCACCCTTATATGTTTGAACAGTGGCTGAACACATCGTCTAACATCACTGTGATCAGAGCCCGACACAAGGATTACCTATAATGAGTATTATTAGTTGCTGCTCTATCAGTAAATAAAAACTTATTAATGACCTGTGAAAACCAGTGGGATGCTATCCATAGTGTATTGCTTTAATTGCTTGCTATCTAACCACTTAGCAATCCAGACCTTCCTCCAAAAGAAATAATAATTCAGAACTACCCTTGTCTTGAAGATAGATTTTGGTGGTTTCATCCATTTGTCTCCATTATTATCCCTCTGACAAACAGTTGCATAAACTTTTATAATATTGGGGTTATTTTTTTAAAAAAAAATATTATATTCAAAAGTTTTGAGCTGTGTTTAAAATGGATGGCTTTTGCAAGAAGGATAATTTTATTTATTTGTTTGTAACAGGTTTATGCCAAAAAACACACTACCCCACATTAAAGAAGGCCTCAATGCTAAAGGAATTGGAGATACATCTTTGCTTATGGAGATGCCCTTTCAAGAACAGAAGTGTGAAACTTCAAATATCATCAAAACCAACAATTTAGACCAAAGACCTGGACACCAAAAAGTAGAGTCTAGATTTGGTTGCCCCTGGCCAGAGAGACAGCATCTTTGTCAAGGAGAAGAGAGCCAATGTGCCACTCCTCTTGGTCACAATGTAGGCAGTTTGAAATATCAGCAGAGGCCTTTGCACATTGTTTGGCCTCACAGATGGTGAGTGTAATGTCAACACTGAAATGTTATGCCTAATAGAATTTGACTTCGGAAACAGTGCTATTTTCTTCTGGTGATGAAGAATTTAGAATTTTCTTTTAATATTCATACTAACAGAAGAGAATATCCTTAGGTCAGGCTTGAATTGTGGAGTCCTTGGTCTCTCTGAGCTGGATTGTTTGCTTGCAGGCATTTCTTTATCTGACTAGGTTACATCATCAGTGTTAGTGAGTGTGGTGTTTGCTCCCTGTTATATACAGTAGCTTGTCTTGTTGGGAAGGATCTTGATAGTTCCTTGAGTATTGTTTTCTGCTTGTTTTTCTGGTGTGAATCATTGCTTATCTAAACTCATAGAGATAAATTATATTTACACATCATACAAAAGAGACAATAAAAAAGCTAAGAAGGAAACCCAAAGAACACATCCTCTTGAGCAACCAACACTTATATTAGCGGACAAATAATCAAACCAGAAAATCAATCGAACAATCAATAGCCTGATCAAGGAGCTACCAAAGAGATAACCACACCCTCACCAACACTTGCAAGCTTTTGTATATAACAGGGAGCAAACCCCACACTCTATAGCACTGATGATGTTATCTAGATGGGTAATAATATGTCTGCAAACAACCAAGCTCAGAGAGCACCAAGGACTCCAGAATTCAATAATTGGTTACAGAATGAAGTGCTGAAAAATCACTGTTTTTTAAAAAAAACAACAGAGAGGGAGCTGAGCATCCATATATGGACAAGAAACATGGGATGACACTAAAAATATGAAAACTGCTGAAAATCCTGCTTGAAAGCAGCTCTGTCCACTAATAATGTTTAATATGCAGTGCTATTTTGAAAAAAAATCTTAATTATCTTAACGTGACTGACTAGGTGTTAATATTCAAGACCATACTATGCTATTTGCATCTTCGTTTTAAAATCTATCTTTCCTACAATATACATATATATATATATATTTTAGAAATCAGCATATGCTTATATGTAGGCTTAGAGGGAATGGAATAGGCTATAAGAAAGCTGCTGCTTTTCAAGCTGTTGACCTGATCGCCAAATCTTTTCTAAACTGAAGTAAATCTACCCACCCACATAATTACTACAAATATATAAACTTTAGTTTGACTCCTACCATAAATTAGGATTTAAAGAGGTAAAATGTCCTGATAATCTTCCGGTATTGGGCACGAACGTTTTAATCTAGTATTTTTCCCCCCCTCACAGTTCATTTAATCTGCATGTGGCCTGATTAGAGTTCACTTCATCCACAGATTATACTGTGTTTATTTTTGAGATGCCCGGTCGATCAGTAGGTCAGATTTCTCTGAGAGCAACGGTTTGCAGGTGAAGCCATAAGAGCACCACACCGACGAGGCAAATCGCCTTTGTGGGGGATTTGACTTCCAACACATTAAAACTCCAGAAGCTTTCCCAGATGATCTGCAGCATCTGGTACCTAAAGGGATTTTCATATTTGACTCCAAATGTCTGAACATAAAAATTTAGGGATTGGAAGTGGATGCGGAATCCATCTTTGGATTTGTTTAATCAACTTCACACTTCTCACATTATTTTTCTCAGTGAGCTACATTTATTTTTAGTCAAATTTAATTGCCATCAGCTCAACAAAAAATGCTGTGTTCTGATATGCTGTTTTACAATGTGGCATGTTTGTGACATGTATTGATTGCCATTCCATTAGTGATTAGGAATGTGAAGTTCATAAATCTAATACTGGGGCTGCAAGTTTGTTGAATTTTCTTCTTCTTCTGACAAACGGCTATATTAAGATACATGCTGAAACTTTTATAGATTGTGGGGTTTCCTTTAAAATACTGATCTTTTGGGGGGAGGGAGAGTTGTTTTCCCCCTAGGTATTATTAAAAATAAATAAATTGCAGGGTAAATGAAAAGGAAAATATATCCCCCTAATTACTATGCCTTTTGCATAAAGGAGCACAAAGCTAAATTAATGAAAGGAGCAATATTCGGTGAAATGATTCCTTTTCTTTCTCTATATTTTTGAGTCCTTGTTTTGTTTAATTTAATTTTGTTGCCTAAAGTTAGTTGCTTAAAGAGATGCAGGCTTCTGTCTGCATGCATCCTTATTGTTAGAGCTAAATTATTTTTAATTTGGAGAAAGAAGAGAAGCCACATCAGCAAGATCAAATGCCAAAATATAAAAGTAACACATTCACCCTTACGGGTAATATAGTAGAACATTGGAAACTTGGAGGTTGCCAGACACACAGCTAACATTAGGGCTAATTTTGAAAATCTAGCGTGCAGTCAATTTTACTGATGCCTGGGGACATACAAGGTAGAAGCTGACAAGAGAACTAATTTTGTTTGGGTTATTTACTGCTATGCATCATCCAGGGTTCCCGCCTGACACACGGCTATATGAAGGGGAATATTATCACATACTAAAAATTTATGTTGACATTCGATATTTGTTCAATATGTCAGCAGTATTACTTTCATAATCAAAAGAGTGAGGAGAACAGAGAGGGGGAAAAAAGGCACTTTATGCTCATATAGATATATCTTTTTAATAACCGTCTATAAGGTTAATATAGTTTACCTTTGAGAGTATACAATGAAAACAAGCAGGGTGAGCTGGGAAAATGACAGAAAGCATCAACCGGGGCTGTTTGTTTGCCATTACCTAAGCGAGCCATGTCAGCTCTCTGGCCCGCATCTGATAGCTATTTGTTGTACAGAGAGCACAGCATAAAAAAAAGGGGTGGGAGAGAAAAAAAAAAATACCAAACTCTTAATACTATTGTGTGCCCATAACCATCTGTCACTGCTCGCCTGGAGATGAGAGGAAGATTACGAGGAATAAACACTGAGCGGCTGAGCATTGGTAAAGCCTTCAGGCAAAAAACTCTTGTGGGGACATCAAAGACATTCTAATTCCGAGGCAGTCAAGGATTACAGTGTGTAACCTGTGCTGACAACAGATAAATGACTGGCAATATTGTGCCAGAGCTGTTGGGTCCTGCGTGGAGTCCTGATGGTGATGGCGATGGTGATGATGATGATGTTATCTTGCGGAATGGACTCTGCTGGGATAATTTTATGATAAAACACTCTCCTCCCCCCCCCCCAAAATGCCACTGGGTCTAGGCAGACATTGACTAGCTACAGGGGTAGCAATCGGTTTCCTCAAAATTTACTGTTCTAAGCCCATTAGAATTCCAGTGCAGCCAGGCTTTGCGATGAAAATCCAAATCGCCAGTATTTCCACGTCAGAAAAGAAGCACGTATGCAAATGGTTGGAGGGCTTCCACTCTCAGCATTTAGTGTTGGGATATTCCAGCAAAATGATTTATGTAAATATGCTCATAAAAATGCAATTACCCCTTCCCTCTTCCCCTCTCTCGCTCTCTTTTTAAAAATGATAAATATGAAATAGCAAATTAAAAAAAATTTAGTTCAACCCGTTAGTCATGAGAAGATAATGCCAGCAGAGAAACCTGCATCGCACAGGTAAATACAATAGGCTCTGCTGTTGCAATGAGATGCACATACACACACACACACGCACCCGTATACATCATTCACCGCATTAGCAGCTAACAATTTTCTGCGCCTTATTCAGGCATTAGCAGATTGAAATATTCCCTTCTGAGGCCCTGAAATGATCTCATTAAACAAACACCAGGTTTTGGTGATTGATGTAATAAGGAGGATGTGGAGTTGCTGGGTAAAAGTATTGTCAAAGAGTGCTGCTACTCTTTCAAGATGCTAGACTTTCTCACTGCAGCCATTTCCCTGCACAAGAATACTAGTACGATTTGAAAAGCGGGTGATATGTAAATTTATTTATTTATTTAGTATTCTGAGCTTTCTGCTCACCTACGTCTATTTCTCTCGCGCGATGAAACAATACCTCATGGTGATGTTCTGCACCAGAATCCCCAAATGTTTCTCTCCTTGTTTTGTTGGAAACGAATGGCCTGATCCTTTGGCCTCTTGCGCCAGCAAGAGTCTATAGAGAATCAAAAGCTTTTTTCATCGGCCAGAGCAACACTGTATCTTGTGGCTTTGCCTTCACTGTTGAGACCGAGCCAAAGGCACAGCCAGCTCAAGATATTTTGGCCGCTTGAGGTGAAGGAGAAGGCATTGCTTCCCCATTCCACATGCAGATGTCATTTAGGCTTCAACTGAATTGTGCTTCAACATTTGCATCCAGGCAATATTCATCGTTGCATTTTGGTACAGGGGTGCAATGCAGGCTGGAAAATATCCAGAACTTTCCTCCAATTCTGCACCATTCCCCATCCTACAGCTTTTACTAGACAAAGGAGCTGCCCTCCCTCAATGCTACCTCACTTAGTAGGCCTCAGCCCAAGGCAAGCTAAAGTGCAACAGTAGTTAGCTGTGATACTACAAAACCTAGGTTTCTGAGATTCTGACTATACAATCGAATATTACAGATTCCTCCCTGGTCCTGTGACAGAGTTCACTGTGTTTCAGACCAGTTTTCAGAATTCCCAGATATCTCTGCCTTAGGAATTCTAGGGAATGTAAGTCTTCTTGATCTATGATGCAATTTCAGTGCTGCTTATGCACTGGAGGGCTGCGGCCTGGTCGGACCAGTTCGGGCAAACCAGTAGTTGTGATCGCTGCCCACCCGCCCCTGTGCTATCCTTTCCATATATAGCTAACTTTCTAGCTCGTTTCCCCCACCCATGCTGCCCAATTGTGTTCCATGCGGCGCCTGCTGTCCTCACCGGAGCTGCCTGAGTTGATTAGCTGCCTGTTTGAAGCTCCGTTTTAGCCCCAAAGTGGCATGAGCACACTCACAACCGGCCAGCCAGTTGTTAACGTAAGTACAGCTGACCTCTGTGCTTATGCAATGCTAATACCTTGATATGCCAACCCTTACGCTATTGGTAAAAGGAATGACTGAATCTGTCAATTCCATTTTCTCTTTTTCGTTTCTCTAGTTGAAATTTATTTTGTCATGATTCTGCATA